TGCACGTTTGACAGTCACAGATGAGTGACCTTTCGCCAGTTTGGCACAGCAAGAATAATTGATGACAGTGACCCAACACTTGTTTTAATTGTGATTTATCAAATTAAATAATACATTAATTTAAAAGCCGCAGATAATTACTTATCCTGCTAACAACATAACTATGCATAGGAATTTAATACAGAAGACCCAGTTGCCATATGGAAGCAAACTGGGGTTCTTACCTAAAAAACAAGTTGGCTTGTTGTCACCTCGACAGTGCAGGCAGAAAGAGGAAGATTTCAGGCTTGGGGGTCCCACGCTCCCTCTTGCCCCTGTCATGTGACAACATAGCCCCTGGGGATTGGCTAAAAAAACTGTTGCTATGGAAACCATGGCACCAGTGCCTTGAGCCCCAGAACCCTATCAGATAACTGGTAAAGGGCAGGATATTGGGTTACTTGTGCAAAAGACTAGGACAAAATATCCAGCCTTTACACTCTCCCCCCCTTTAAGGAAATTTTGTAACCCGGATTGAAATTGATAAATACAAATACATGATTAAACAATGCTTCAGCTGAACAATCATTCGTAACCCTCTTGTATCACACATGTATGACCTGAGAATACTTCTTCGTAAATGGATCCCAGGAAAAGAACCTAGTGCTTCGTCGCTGGCGCTGGGATCTACGAGGAGCTTCCGGCAAGGTCATGATAACAGTCTCCTCACAGGGGAGAGACTGAAGTGGTTCCTCCGCAGCAACTGGATCACTTATAGCAGAGTCCACAGAGTTCTCAGATAGGTCTGGCTCACCACCAGATGATTCTACCGGATCACAAGGAGCGATGAGCGATGTATCCTCATTGTCCGGATCTTCAGGCAGCCCATCTTCTCTCCCATGTAGTTCTCCTGAGTCCCCACTCCATGGGTTCTGATGGAGCAGCTTCAGCTTCCACTGCAACCGTTTCCCAGGTGAGGGGTCCTGCAGTGGTTGCCTCATTCTGCATACCGGGAACCACTTGGATAGCGGGGACTTCCTCTACAGTAGGTTGTGTGTATGGCAGCGCCTGCTCTTGTGGTTCAAAGGGTTGAGCCTCAGGGTTCAAGCTGCTAGTGGGTACAGCTCTAATAGGTTCAGGCTGTGGGTACCATACATTGACAGTGTGGAGTTCATCCTCGGAGGATTCTAAGATGTCCTCCGGTTGTTGATTTTGGGCTTTGGATCTGGTAACAGGCCGCCTCTGACACTGGTTTCTTTCTGGTTCATCCATATCTAGGGGCAATGAACCAACAGGAAGTAAGAGGTTGCGATGGTAAGTCTTTGAGGGCCTGTCTCCATTTTCTGGTCGAAAAACATAGACAGGCAATTTCACCCTGGTGACGTTCGACAATGAAGACTCCCTGACTTCCCGGTGTCTGAGAGGGCCTGATCTTCCATTACAATCTTCGCTTGTTTGGCCCATTCTTCAAAGGCTACCTCTCCGGTTTTGATGGGTCTTGTACCAGAGAAGGTCTTCAGTCTGAAGTAGCTGGATGAGGGACGATCCCAATTCACCAGCACCTGTTGTGGGTCTGGGCGTACAGTGCTACCGCTACCCACAACCCCAGCACTCGAGCTTGCAACATTAGAGTCGCTAGCGGCTGGGGATTTTAAGTGGGCAGCAGCAACATCGTTAGCCGCCAGAACAGGTGTGGGAGTTGTTGGCTTTGGTTTTATGGATCCGGTGCTGGTCGTAGCTGATGGAAGCTGTCGTAATAGCAGTTGGAACTGTTCCAGCATCTGCGACTTCATCGCCTCCATCATCAGGGCCATCTTCCTGTCCAGGGCCTGATCTACTGCCCTGGCCACGACGTCTTCTAGAGAGGATCCTTCCCGAACCAAGTTCACTTTCATAACTTGATACTCCTCCTCTCTGATGAGTACAGTGTCCCCAAGCTTCAGAGGGACTTGAGGGCTCGTGAACTCCACGAGGTGCAGCTGATGAATAGAATCAAGCACCTGGAGAACCCGCACCTTCCCATAGCAAGGGGACAACTCCTCCTCAACCGACTCCGTTTTTGTTTCCTCCGGGAGCCCAATTATTCCAATTGATCGCTTGGGGTCAATTTTCATTGACAACATAGTGTCCAAGAGCTCAGAGTTCGTGAGCGAGGACATGTTGACAAAAAATCGGAGATGAGGTTGAGATACTGAGAATTCTTAGTTGACTAAGGCAACTAAGGGTAGGAGTATAGATACAAAATTATGCCTTATGTGCCAATGAGTGTATATCTTTGACCGTTGAGGAGTACTATGAACGCTTGCGACACTTTGCCCCACGTTGGGCGCCAATGTAAGACTTGGGTAATTGCTGTTATTGCGTAACAATTACGTCTCACGGGAAAAGGGATGGGCAAGTGTGTCTATTGCGCGAAGTGCTCCAGTCAAAGATGACACAACACAAAAAGACAGTAATAATATGTATTAAAATAAAAGGTCTTGGTTACAGAGTTGCAAGTTCCGACTGCACAGTCCAGGTGAAACCTAAAAAACAAGCTGGCTTGTTGTCACCTCGACAGTGCAGGCAGAAAGAGCCATTGTACAGATACAATAATGAAAATTAATAATAATCCGACTGATATGTAGGATGTGACGACAATACTTAATAGGGGCAACAATATTATTAAAGGACAAATAAATACAATATTGGTACAAAAGTATATGTGCATATATGATGAGCACACAATCCCAAAGAGTATTTACATAAATACCTTTAATTACATAACCCAAAAGAATCGTCACACCCTCCTATCAGAGGATTTACATAGGGCCCCACCTGAGGTGAGGTGAAAGTCACATTAACTTTAAGGGCCAATGGGAAGTATAAAAATATATATATATACACAAAGTGGGGCAATATCTATACCCAACACATTTGGAATATATGATACAGAAAACCGGTTGATTGATATACACAATAGTTACGACAGGACACCTGGCCTGTACGACACATGTGGCTAAGGGAAATGGGGTATGACTGCCTGTTGGATGATCATACTAGTCAATATGAGGCTAGCTCCAACAGAATGTCGATACACCCAGTAGGTACACCACTTGGGGCTACCCAGGATAAACACCTAATTGTAGTAAGTAAATTGACAGTATGTAATAAACGGATATTACATAAATTATATTACTACGATATGTAGGTATATTATTGGCCATATAATATAATACATTATATTATTATTGAATAAACTGTGACTTCACTTTCACATCAAGTGGGGGAACATACTAAAATATGATTGATATAGTGGCATGGTACCGGTAGTCAATGCTATGTTAAGATAACCATGAAGCAGACGACGGACCCTAGTTTTGTTTACATCCGGTGCAGCCATTTTGTAATGGAGCCGGACGGGAGCCGGAGAATGCCGAGGAGAGCCGAAGACAGCCCAGGCTGTGTGCTGCTCAGTGGAGAGGTCAGCACTGGTCAGTGAGCATGACCGCCACTAATTGGTTCCAGCTGACACCGTGATACTCCAACTGAGCACATGGTTTGGAAACCGGGACAGTGATACAGAGACTTTTAATTTAGATTAAAATGGCAAAAAGAGTTCTGTTGTTAGCAGCAACAAGTTGTAAATAAATGGAATTTTGAATTTAGCAATGAGCTAGAGACAATTTTGACTGGCAGGTCAAATAAGCAAATTAATGCTAAACACACAAAGTACCTTTACTAAAATGAATTTCTAGATGAAAATATATTACAATGAGTACATGTCATTTATTCTTGCCATCGAGTGCACGTTTGACAGTCACAGATGAGTGACCTTTCGCCAGTTTGGCACAGCAAGAATAATTGATGACAGTGACCCAACACTTGTTTTAATTAGTAATTTATCAAATTAAATAATACATTAATTTAAAAGCCGCAGATAATTACTTATCCTGCTAACAACATAACTATGCATAGGAATTTAATACAGAAGACCCAGTTGCCATATGGAAGCAAACTGGGGTTCTTACCTAAAAACAAGCTGGCTTGTTGTCACCTCGACAGTGCAGGCAGAAAGAGGAAGATTTCAGGCTTTGGGGTCCCACGCCCTCTTGCCCCTGTCATGTGACAACATAGCCCCTGGGATTGGCTAAAAACTGTTGCTATGGAAACCATGGCACCAGTGCCTTGAGCCCCAGAACCCTATCAGATAACTGGTAAAGGGCAGGATATTGGGTTACTTGTGCAAAAGACTAGGACAAAATATCCAGCCTTTACACAACCAAAATGATTATGTTGATATTTACATCTTTGAGGAACTATTCCCTGTTTCCAAAGAGGTACCAACTAGATGAAGATGAAGCTGATTAATCAACGTAAGCGAACCATTCTGATTACTACACCATTACGAGTAACGTTTTCCGTTTTCCGTTTTCAGAATGTATATAGTTTTCATAGTCACGATATGGCTGAATTGCTGCCGATGTGACCCACTCACTCACTCACTTATTCACCTCAGCCAACCAACCATCCGTGTCATACTGATTGTATAAACTTTTCAACGTCAAATATACTACCCATCAAAAGTTTAGGACTCACTAGTGTAAATATAGCCACATACTTCAGTCAACTGTTCAAAACTAGATTTTGCAAAATATTCCACACTTTATAGGTACTGTTTACACATGAAGTGATGTACTGTAAAACAAATTCGTAACGTTGAAAAGATTATTGTCATGAGTTCAATAAATTATGAAACTCAGTGGCGAATTATTAATTATTCTTTACACCAAAACGCAGCAGTGCACATGCACGATATTTTCACAGGCTTTAAAGCAATGTGATGCATGATCATCGTGCAGTTCATCTGCATAATGGGAGAAAAAAAGAAAACCAAGGGAACTGAAAGGCATGCTATGTAGTTTCAGAGTGGAAAATTAATTAAACGTTGTTTCATTTTTAAATGTAACAGTAGTGTAAATTGGTCTGGAGAGAGATTTCTTCAATACAGTTATTACTTCACGCACAAGAGAATACTTACTCCACACCTGCACTTCAGCAAAGTCTAATATAACACCACCTCCATCATTATCAGTCTCTGTGTAGACAGTCAGGTAGCCAGGTCCCAGAACAGTTCACATTCAGTACATCAGGGATGTCTGTACCGTCAGGACGCCCTGTTACAGTGTGGCATAGATTTCCTTCTGTGGGTTCAGATGAAATTGTCCTTGATGTGTACAGGTGCACACCATTACGTCTAGTAATGTCTGGAAACAAGAAGAGATACATTAGACTAAGTACAGGGCGTCTCAAGCAATGGAATACAACCGTGAAAACCAGAACTGAATGACATCAACAAACCATTGCGTCTAACTATGGCATACAGTTAGGTCACATTGTACATGTCCGACTTTTATGTGTATCCCTTGAGTATCTATAACCATTGTTGAACACCGTGGTGGTCTTTTCGTTGTGGGTTTTGTGAACATCCTTTGAATTTGTTCTATGGCATTCTCCGGTTCTTTGAGACATATTATCCAGCTATACAGTTTCCACCAGTGAAGATGTTAAATGTCACACCACAAATGTACGACGGTAGTTAAGAATGGGTGGCTTCATGTTTTAAGTACAGCTCCACGTAAGAATCATGCAAAATCGAGAATACTGGACAAGTCAAAATCCAGAATTTGGTTTAAAATTTCAGAATGTGATGACACCACTATATTAAACATCGTTGTGGATTTTTTTCTAAAATATGTGCGCTAATTGTCGCGATACGCTAATATTTCCCAAAGATCAATGGTAGGTAGACGAGCAACGATCTCCATTGGTTTGCATAGTACAGTACTGTTACTTTGAAACCAGATTTTGAATAACAGCAAATGTGTGGCATATAACAAAATATATGTACATATAAAGAAGCTGTAATCTAACCTTTTCCGTCATAAAAAGTACGTAAAGTTCTAATTTGTGATGAAAATGTTAATCTAAACGTGAGCGACAATTCACCATTCAGTTGTCGTTCTTGGCAACTTATGTTCCTCATTACCGCTAGATGGCGTGTTGTTGCTAGGGTGTTGCTAGAGAAGCCACCCCGCGAAAATGGCGGATGCGGAAGCGAATTGTCTGCTCCGCTGCAGTGTTGGCCTGACAGCAGATGGTACTTGCGGAGTATATAGAGCATATCCCAAAGAAAAGGTTTAGAAACCCTGGGATCATGCTGTCGGGATATTTCTTCGCATCTGCGGGAGGTGAATCTATGTGGTGGTCGGCAGACGACAAGAGCCCCGCAGCAGACAGCGAGGGAGTTTGATTTCCTACCGAATCGGCCTTTTCGGGTATGTTTGTAGAAATCACACTGGTAAGTCATTTATGATGAGAAATAAAATGAAAAATAAGCATTGCATATATTTATATCGACAGATCTACACTATCCGAAATTGTGTATCGCTCTATGATGTCTTGTCTAACAGTTGCACCAACAGGGATCCATGCTGCGATTGAATCAGATATGGTCGCATTTACGAGTAAAATTTGTAAAATGCAACCGAATATTTCAAAACACTGAGCATCAGGCGAACTTAAATGAAAATGCAGATGTTACTGTAGTTTTGTGATATTGTTATCAGTCAAATGTCGTATTTTGTCCAAATTGTAAGCACTTGATGGCTGTTCCGTTCACCTCCTTTTAGCATAGTTACGAGAAATATCAGTGTGTTTCCTTACATTTTGTGCTTATGAATTTTGGGGGCAGCAATTTTGTGTGAAGAAATATTAATATATTATGATTTAAAATTATGGGAGGGCATTGATTTTGTATATGACATGCAAGTGCGGGTTGGGGTGTCACTTACTTTGTACATAAACTTTAGGGGGGTCATTCATTGTACATGCTTCTCCATAAAGATCATCATTACCCCTGCTGACCATATGTTATGAACAGTCCCTAAGATCACTATTTTACCTCATTTTTAGAATACATAAACCTGTTAAATCTGTAGTACAAGTTATGTTGATTAAAGCCAAAATCTAACAAACAATTTTCAGTAGACTATAATATTGGTTACGTGAGTTACCTGTGAACAACCCTTGTTGCATATGAGGGAGTAAAATAAAGTTTTGTCTTCTTTGAGTGGCATTTTAGAAGTTGCATACATGGGCATGCAACAACCAACCGATTTTATGGATAACAATTTCTTTATTGCATGTATGCAACGTTTCGATATGGGTTCTTGTATCACTGTCAAGCAAGAATGCGAGAACTTATTAATAAAAACATTTTGGCTAGTGAAATTTAGAGTTTTATTAGATAATAACAATTAGGTAAATAAAATACTGAATTTTAAGCTGAATATATAAAAAACATGTTTATTGGCTTAGCTAGTTTTAAGTGTACATGAAGTTATCATGATTGAAAATTGAAACATAATTTGTTTCAACTGTTTAATAATTAAAGAAAAGAGTATTTTGTATCGTACACTTGAATGATAGGTATGCATAGTTGTGTAATATCATGTTACAAGTAGTATTTCTTTACTTCTTACAGGTACGATCCTTCAATGACAGTCTGTCCATATCATCGCTACAGACTTGGCATTCATTGGAGACCATCCAGGATATGTGTTTTCCCTCTCCATCAAGGGTCACAGCTGCCGTATAAAGGGGTGTTCGTCGACATGAGTGAGACCCAAATGAACAAGATTCGAGTCCTTGTGCCTGCAGGTTCTGGTAAATAAATATGTTACTTATTCTTTTGGGTGTTTTTAAGCATGAGCTTTCACCATGGCACATAGTATTGCTATTATGGCTGGGAGAAATCTTGCATGGTAAAACTTGCAAGCATCAACTGGAAATGGTGATAGTCTGGTTGTTTTCATTGCTATTAGTGGCAGCCTAAAGAGACAGCTGGCAGTTCCGGCAATTGCTGATTGCATGAATAATTGACCGCGCGATGTAGTCTAAACTGTCAATTCCGCAAAATTTGCACCAAGCGAAAAAAAAGTATGTTTACAGTAACAGTTCACAACTGCAGATAAATTGCAGAGCCTAGAAGGAATCTAACCTGGAACCTTTTGCTCCAAAGCGAAACCACATCGCTCCTACTTTTAAATTCATTTTCCTTTAAATGCTTTGAAGCTGAATTCTCATCTATTTGAAAATCAAGATAATGTTGTCATACGTTTATTTTGTCACATTATGATATTTATTAGGGAATTCTCTTTCCATGAGTTTGAATTCTTAAAGTATAACTGCTGGTTTATTCGACTAAAAAGAGTAAAATCATTTGAAGTAAATGTTATTTTAATCTTACTTGATATTTTCAGGAATCTGTGTGAAGTGTTACAATGTTTTCAACAGTACCTACTAAGGAGGTTAACCAGTCGTCAAGTCTTAATCAAATGCTCAACTCTTTGGGAGTGAGGAGTGAGTTTAGTTTTACGCCGCACTCAGCAATATTCCAGCTATATGGCGGCGGTCTGTAAATAATCGAGTCTGGACCAGACAATCCAGTGATCAACAGCATGAGCATCGATCTGCGCAATTGGGAACCGATGACATGTGTCAACCAAGTCAACGAAACTGACCACCCGATCCCGTTAGTCGCCTCTTACGACAAGCATAGTCGCCTTTTATGGCAAGCACATGGGTTGCTGAAGACCTATTCTACCCCGGATATTCACGGGTCAAACTCTTTAATAAATATTTTCAAATTTTTTAGTGAAAAATACATATTGAACCATGTCAAACATAATATCATAACAAATATTAATGTATGACCAGGAGTATTTAAAACTGAGATATGGTTAATCATAATGGCTATTTAGAAGTTACTAGTATATATTTATTATAATCCCACTTTTAAATGATTTTAGGGCCAATCTTCACAACAAATTACAGATAAAGAGAGAAGATGTGTCTACATCAAGATCAAAAGCATCAGTCAACTTCATCTCCTACATACATGTATTAGTGAATATTTGTTATGTTTTAAACCTAGAACTCCCTCTCCATGCTTATTCATGTACATATTACATACATACAATGTGAAGAAGTTAAATTACAAAATTAAGGGAAAATTATGGATTTTTACAACACACATTCTTTAATTTAGAACTAAATATATTTTCCAGAAAGAGAGTACCAACAGCCATCTACGTGCGAGTGTACTCAGAGAAGTGCAGAATAGCCCTGAATGTGATGTAAGTACAATTGGAGTATAAATGTAGTGTCACATATGCCTTGGTGGTGCTATGGAATTCATAATTATATCAATTCTGCTTTATTAACAGCTATCTGATGAATACTTGCTCGTATCATAAGCAGACCGATTTCGTCCAGTGTTTGATGTCTGATCCCAGTGAAATTTAAACTACCTAATACTGTAATGTGCATTTATTTTCCATCGACATTATACATATAATGTGTTTCTCAAACTTTTGAACATCTTTCTTTATCTTTATTCATACTGAAGGCCACGGGCCCATGGTATACAGGAACATAGTACACAATATCATAGAAAAGAATAAAAAATAGTCAAATCACAATATGCCATATCTCATCAAAATGTATCACATCATATAACATCGCATTACACATACTTTGTCGTATCACATCATATCAAAACACCCCAAATTACATCATGTCATATCATACCATGTATCATATCATATCATATCATATCATATCGCACCACATCATACCATATCGTAACAAATAACAATATGAGTACATACATTCTATGGATTATTATGTTTATTTCTTAGAGACAATGCTTGATAGATAAAGGTTGATAACTTACGGATAAGAACATTGTCATCAGTACTCATTAACAAAGAAAATTTCACCCTATCGGGATATACAGAATAATATCTTGGGACATTTTTTTTTCTTAACTCACAATATAATGGGCAAATTAAGAGGAAGTGATATTCATCTTCTACACAATTAAGATCACAAAATGTACAAATTCTATTTTCCCTCTCTATTTTATGATATCTCCCTGTTTCGATTGCCAAGTCATGTGAGGAACACCTAAACCGAGCAAAAGCCTTTCGAAATTTCTTGATATTTAGTGACAGCAGATAATTCTCTCTGTATATATGGGATTGAAACATTCTATAATAGAAACATTTATTTTGACAAATGACAGTGCTCCTACCCATTCTTGTGTATATATATCTTTGAGCCTTTGAGTAACATTATTCACAAAATTTGTATGAAAGTCAACATTTTACCTTTGCCATACCTCCCAAAACCTATTGTATTTAACAGTTCTCGAATCTTAGTCACCCAGTTAGTCTTCCCGTTGTTATCGTACATTAACATCATATCATAACACTGTCTAGAAGGTATCTATCAGATGACATATATAACAGACGTATCCAATATTTTATTATTCTAACTTTAGCAAAATGTGTATGGGAAATCTTCCACAATCTCCATATACCATGGCATTAGGTGTAATTTACTTTCACTCCTAAAAATATCTTGCAAGTATATAAATGTATTTTCTCAATTACGTCAAAATTATTGAAACCCCATACCTCTGAACCATACAATAGAATAGGAAGGATTTTGTATCAAATATTTTGAAAAAGAATGATAATCAATATCTACGAGTTGTGAATACTTTTGAGAACCGCAATAAGTACCTTTTGGCTAGTGTGGAACAATATTTAGCATGTGCTGAAAAGCCAAGACGATTAGTGAAGTAGACTCCAAGGTATTTATATGATTGAGTGACTTGGAGCTGGCTCTCCTTTATAATACCATTTTTCCGTTTTAGATAGGTTGCCCCGTTTTTGAAAACGACTATTCTAGATTTTCTCAAAATTAACAGTTAATCCTGCCTCATTGCAATGTATATGCCTTTGTAATCCAACAACAGTAGTCATAAACAGAATCATATCATCGGCAAACAACAATAAAACAATTGTGTCAAATAGGGATGTAACTGGATACCATGAGTACCATTTTGTTGTATTATTGAAGCAAATTCATTAATGAACATTGAGAACAGAAATGGACTCAGAATACAGCCTTGTCTAGCTCCAACATTGCAATTGAAGGTATCTGATATTTCATGATTATTTCTGATGCAAACTTTCACATTATCATATATCTTCTGTAGCAATCTATTCATCTTAGGGCTAATACCATGTTTTGCATTACCCCCAAAGTTTTTCTCTGTATTGAATCAAACGCTTTCTTAAAATCGACAAACAAAGCATACATTTTCTTTCCCTTTGTATTGAGACACTTCTGAACAATTGAATTATGTATAAATATATTATCTACAGTACTGTATCCTGCCCTAAAGCCGGCTTAGGATTCATCTATTTTATCAAAAGTATTTGCTTTAAAAAAGTCAATCTCTTGTTGATGATATAGACAAAAACCTTTCCCAATATACTTAACAGATTTATACCTCTATAATTATCAACATTATTAATGTTCCCGCTCTTATGAATTGGGATAATAATTCCAATAGTCCAAGTCGATGGAAAATTACCGCTCTCTAAAATAACATTAAAAAATCAACTCCAAGTAAGGTAATAAGATATCTTCAGAATATTTAATAAATTCAGGTAATATATCATCAACACCCGCTGCTTTGTTTACCTTTAAGTGTCTTATACTATCTATAATTTCTTGTCTGGTAATAGGTGGATCTAGAATATCGTTAGTCAATAGGTCAAAGTCAGTTGGTGTGCATGTACGTACATTAGTACTCGTTGCCAGCACTTACATCCTCTGTCACATCATTGCTAGTTGATGTAAACAATTGTTTGAAATGTTCAAACCACTCACGGGTACTGATATCATGTGTAGTAGACTGTTTTACCATTCAAGCCTTGAAGGATTGACCAAAACTCTTTGGAATTGATATGGTTTTCTAGTTTTATCTGTTTTGTTTATAGTACTCTGTTCTTTTCTGCTTACACTTAGCGTTATATAGGTTTCTAACTAAAATGGTACTCATCTAAGTGCTGTTTGTCTTTATAAATTCTGAACTGATTAAATTTCCGGCAGCGCTCGGCTTTCAAACGCCTACATTCACTATCAAACCATGGGCTGTTCCTGCTATAATAACTGTGTGTCGATTTTCGTTTCATACCCATAGCAGCAGAGCACAAAGCATCTGCAATATATTCTATACTCTGATTGATATCACTAAAGGCTGTATCTAAAGCATTTATCGAGTAAGTCCTGCACACTATCTGAGAACATATTTTTGTCTAAACTCATCCGATATTTCTTCATTCCAAAACAAACTTATAACTATGATTCAAATCTTCTTTATTACATCATATTCCCGCTTGTGTGTTGTAAACCAATTTCATCGTGACTGGGAGGTGCGTGGACTCTGTGCGAGATTGTATATTGAAGTCAGTACAAGACGAGAACAGACATGATGATGCAATAATATAATCAATTACGCTGGCCCCCATTGACCCAAGAAATGTAAAATCTCAATATTTTTGTCTGCTCCGCATCTCCCATTCATGATATGGATATTCAAAACAGCACATAATTCTACCAAAGCTCGTCCAAAATGAATTAACAGTCTTGTCGACGGAGAATCTTGCGAGGTTAAATTGATCTACTAGAAATTTCCAATTTGACGTGTCTGTTTCTATATATTCAAGTATATCATCCTCAATAAAGTCGGGTCATTTCCTGTTCTCGCATTGAAATCTCCGCCACAACAAAACAGATGCATCTGGATGATCCGACAATATATCTACTAGATTTTCCTGTAACAACTGAATCCCGTTTTACAATGTACGTTTGTCTTTTCATACCAGGTTGACCCTCAGGGTGTACATATACACAGGAATACAACAGATCTTTATCGTTACCTAATGTCTTATCAAATAAAATGTTAACTGCATTTTCAGTAATTTTGCACCATTTGATATATTGTCTAAGACATTTTCTAACTAGCACAACTATGCCACCTGATAATCTGCCGCGGTGAGATAAGCTTATCTGCAGGTTTCATGAACGTGACATAGTCATCAAATATATTATCAACATCACAATCATTAATCCACGTTTCGGTAAGTCCGATAATCTCAAATGTTTTGATATACATAAGGAACTCATTATCGGATAATTTAGATGAAAAGCCAGACACACATTCCAAAATAGGAATGATTGATGATAAAACTGATCAGGTGATGCGGTTGACTGAGCGGAGGGTGAGTGATGCGCCGTACAATCACTGGGTGGATCAGTGTCAGCAGTTAGACCCTGGCCACACCCTATTGGTACCGACCACGTCTAGAGTGAGACCTGAGGTTTCTTAAGATACCACCCCCAGCCTGTGGTCCGGTGGGTAGCGCCTCATCGCTCTCACCTCCTGCACCCTGGGCACTCTCCAACTCACCCTAGGCTGACTCAGCAGTTTATTACCCTTGTAATAGTACCTGTTATCAGGGTCACTCTGTTTCAGTCTATCAAGCTCCTGTTTCTGGAAAAGGTTAGGTCGTTAGCAATACCAATGTTCATGTCTCTGAGGACATCACGCAGTTTGACTGACCTCCACTTGTCCTCCCAGTGACACGCGCACGATCATAGGTGGTGGCGCGTGGTCGCAATGCCAAAGCTCAGGTCACAAATCGGTGAAGTTAAGCAGCGTCGAGCTCGGAGGAGAGTCCTTGGATGGGTGACCGTGTTTGGCAGCTTGACTCCTGAGAGTTTCTAGGACTTGAGTCCTGCCCCCACAACGAAGCACATGTGACACATGTGGTCTCACCTTAGGCAAGTGAGTTTGTTCACAATTGTCTCTGTTCACCCAGCAGGAAAATGGGTACCCGGTGGAAAAGTCATATGACTATAACCTTCTAGCGCCCTAACAGGCAGCTTGGGTTATCCGGGGGTAATAATGGCCTTGATTGTTGGCGCTATGAGCATACCTAGTGTGGAGTTTGGCGCTATATAAATGGACACATTATTATTATTATTATAGGTCTTGTCTTATTTGAGCTCTTACCTAAACGATGTGCTCTCTCTATGTCACGTGCATCAAGTGGGGACATATCTTTATCTTTATACATATGCATTAACCATGTTCTGAACTGGTGCCTTGTAATATTTTGTGAGATTGTGAAATTAATATTTTAATGTATTTTTTCCATGGTTACAAGTTGGACTTAGAACATGATTCCATAAATGAATTCCATTCTCATTGAAAGATATATCCTATGATTTATGTTGAACCACCACTGCGATATATGTCATCCTATGGTGACTCTTGTTTTATCAAACAAATAATATTGTAATATGAATATGTAAGACTTACATTATTTAATCCCGAATAACACCTGTTAATTTACATGTAACTATGCATGTATATCTTTTTCAGAGTACTTACAGTCAAGACTCTCAACCATCACAAATCTCAAATTGGAGTTACGACAAGGATTTGAGTTTGAATGATGTGAATCATACCCTAGAAACATTGACAAGAGGATCATCCAGCCCAATACGAGCATGCCTACAAAGAGATATTTCTTCAGTAACGAAAGCACAGTAAATTATTACAAAGAAAAGCAAATGAGGCTGTTGATGCTGTCTTTAGATATGATTGCACCAGGACAATCCAGTCGACTGAAAAAAAATGATCACAGAAGATCCTCCTGATAGAACCTCTTCAGCTGACCATGACACCTTGATAGACCTATATCATCAGAAACCACAGACAATAATTTGAGAGCCCAAATATTGGCCACTGTATCCAATGATTTAAAACAATCTGATCTCATGAAGAAAATTCCAGGTTTAACCATCTACAAAATTGACCAAGCAAGGTTGATGTCAAAATCTCAAAACGGAATATCTTTCCCCAACAAGTCCAAACGACGACGTCATCGAATGGACAAAGGTAAATTGCAAACATGCATTGGATTTCTTTTTCGATCCTTTTTTCATGCAAGTTGTATCTTTTGGGACAAGAAACATAGAGTTGGACTCAGGCGAAAACATTACCATTCCTGATGTTGTTAGAACCTCATGTCATTCTCAAATAGTCAAGATGTATGAAACCTTGTGTGAGGAAACTCACTTTACACCACTTTGCCAATCCACCCTTATTCACATTTTGCAAGCCTGTGCTGCATCTAAAAGGAAGAATCTCCATGGTTTAGACAACACTGCTGCTGAAAGAGAAGAGGGGTATAAAGCACTTCAAGATCTAGCGTGCAGACTGCACAGGTGTGGAATTATATCAGGAGATGCTTTCAAAGATATAAAAGGTCAACTTTCATCAAGTCGTATCTACATGAAAACTGATTACAAGATTCATGTTCAGGATTCAGATATGTGTTCAGACCATTGTATTACTTGCGGACTCCAGTGATCCTAATGTATCCAATGATTTAAAACAATCTGATCTCATGAAGAAAATTCCAGGTTTAACCATCTACAAAATTGACCAAGCAAGGTTGATGTCAAAATCTCAAAACGGAATATCTTTCCCCAACAAGTCCAAACGACGACGTCATCGAATGGACAAAGGTAAAATTGCAACATGCATTGGATTTCTTTTTCGATCCTTGTTTCATGCAAGTTGTATCTTTTGGGACAAGAAACATAGAGTTGGACTCAGGCGAAAACATTACCATTCCTGATGTTGTTAGAACCTCATGTCATTCTCAAATAGTCAAGATGTATGAAACCTTGTGTGAGGAAACTCACTTTACACCACTTTGCCAATCCACCCTTATTCACATTTTGCAAGCCTGTGCTGCATCTAAAAGGAAGAATCTCCATGGTTTAGACAACACTGCTGCTGAAAGAGAAGAGGGGTATAAAGCACTTCAAGATCTAGCGTGCAGACTGCACAGGTGTGGAATTATATCAGGAGATGCTTTCAAAGATATAAAGGTCAACTTTCATCAAGTCGTATCTACATGAAAACTGATTACAAGATTCATGTTCAGGATTCAGATATGTGTTCAGACCATTGTATTGTATTACTTGCGGACTCAGTGATCCTAATGTATCCAATGATTTAAAACAATCTGATCCTCATGAAGAAAATTCAGGTTTAACCATCTACAAAATTGACCCAAGCAAGGTTGATGTCAAAATCTCAAAACGGAATATCTTTCCCCAACAAGTCCAAACGACGACGTCATCGAATGGACAAAGGTAAATTGCAACATGCACTGGATTTCTTTTTTCGATCCTTGTTTCATGCAAGTTGTATCTTTGGGACAAGAAACATAGAGTTGGACTCAGGCGAAAACATTACCATTCCTGATGTTGTTAGAACCTCATGTCATTCTCAAATAGTCAAGATGTATGAAACCTTGTGTGTGAGGAAACTCACTTTACACCACTTTGCCAATCCACCCTTATTCACATTTTGCAAGCCTGTGCTGCATCTAAAGGAAGAATCTCCATGGTTTAGACAACACTGCTGCTGAAAGAGAAGAGGGGTATAAAGCACTTCAAGATCTAGCGTGCAGACTGCACAGGTGTGGAATTATATCAGGAGATGCTTTCAAAGATATAAAAGGTCAACTTTCATCAAGTCGTATCTACATGAAAACTGATTACAAGATTCATGTTCAGGATTCAGATATGTGTTCAGACCATTGTATTACTTGCGGACTCAGTGATCCTAATGTATCCAATGATTTAAAACAATCTGATCTCATGAAGAAAATTCAGGTTTAACCATCTACAAAATTGACCAAGCAAGGTTGATGTCAAAATCTCAAAACGGAATATCTTTCCCCAACAAGTCCAAACGACGACGTCATCGAATGGACAAAGGTAAATTGCAACATGCATTGGATTTCTTTTTCGATCCTTGTTTCATGCAAGTTGTATCTTTTTGGGACAAGAAACATAGAGTTGGACTCAGGCGAAAACATTACCATTCCTGATGTTTGTTAGAACCTCATGTCATTCTCAAATAGTCAAGATGTATGAAACCTTGTGTGAGGAAACTCACTTTACACCACTTTGCCAATCCACCCTTATTCACATTTTGCAAGCCTGTGCTGCATCTAAAAAGGAAGAATCTCCATGGTTTAGACAACACTGCTGCTGAAAGAGAAGAGGGGTATAAAGCACTTCAAGATCTAGCGTGCAGACTGCACAGGTGTGGAATTATATCAGGAGATGCTTTCAAAGATATAAAAGGTCAACTTTCATCAAGTCGTATCTACATGAAAACTGATTACAAGATTCATGTTCAGGATTCAGATATGTGTTCAGACCATTGTATTACTTGCGGACTCAGTGATCCTAATGTATCCAATGATTTAAAACAATCTGATCTCATGAAGAAAATTCTAGGTTTAACCATCTACAAAATTGACCAAGCAAGGTTGATGTCAAAATCTCAAAACGGAATATCTTTCCCCAACAAGTCCAAACGACGACGTCATCGAATGGAGAAAGGTAAATTGCAACATGCATTGGATTTCTTTTTCGATCCTTGTTTCATGCAAGTTGTATCTTTTGGGACAAGAAACATAGAGTTGGACTCAAGCGAAAACATTACCATTCCTGATGTTGTTAGAACCTCATGTCATTCTCAAATAGTCAAGATGTATGAAACCTTGTGTGAAACTCACTTTACACCACTTTGCCAATCCACCCTTATTCACATTTTGCAAGCCTGTGCTGCATCTAAAAGGAAGAATCTCCATGGTTTTAGACAACACTGCTGCTGAAGAGAAGAGGGGTATAAAAGCACTTCAAGATCTAGCGTGCAGACTGCACAGGTGTGGAATTATATCAGGAGATGCTTTCAAAGATATAAAAGGTCAACTTTCATCAAGTCGTATCTACATGAAAACTGATTACAAGATTCATGTTCAGGATTCAGATATGTGTTCAGACCATTGTATTACTTGCGGACTCAGTGATCCTAATGTATCCAATGATTTAAAACAATCTGATCTCATGAAGAAAATTCCAGGTTTAACCATCTACAAAATTGACCAAGCAAGGTTGATGTCAAAATCTCAAAACGGAATATCTTTCCCCAACAAGTCCAAATGACGACGTCATCGAATGGAAAAAGGTAAATTGCAACATGCATTGGATTTCTTTTTCGATCCTTGTTTCATGCAAGTTGTATCTTTTGGGACAAGAAACATAGAGTTGGACTCAGGCGAAAACATTACCATTCCTGATGTTGTTAGAACCTCATGTCATTCTCAAATAGTCAAGATGTATGAAACCTTGTGTGAGGAAACTCACTTTACACCACTTTGCCAATCCACCCTTTTTCACATTTTGCAAGCCTGTGCTGCATCTAAAAGGAAGAATCTCCATGGTTTAGACAACACTGCTGCTGAAAGAGAAGAGGGGTATAAAGCACTTCAAGATCTAGCGTGCAGACTGCACAGGTGTGGAGTTATATCAGGAGATGCTTTCAAAGATATAAAAGGTCAACTTTCATCAAGTCGTATCTACATGAAAACTGATTACAAGATTCATGTTCAGGATTCAGATATGTGTTCAGACCATTGTATTACTTGCGGACTCAGTGATCCTAATGACTCAGAATTGCAGAAATCCTGTGACCATTTGCATTCTCTGCAGTGTGACAGATGTCAGATTTTGGAAGATGTTGAATAAAAATTCTCAAACATTGTAGCAAGTATAGAAGAAGGAGAACTGCAGGAAGATTCAAAGGAAATCATTATCAGATTCATTACAGCAGATCAGAAATTGGAAGGCTCACATAATGCGATCAGTGAACCAGGATACATTTCGTATTAACTGTCGTCAAAATCTCAAACAAAACCAGGCATTCTTGTTCATGGATTGGGCAATGAAATTTCTACCCTTGAAGTTCAGAGAGAAGCAGACAGACTGGTTTGGGCAGCGTGGAAAGAACTGGCATGTCACTGTCTGCATTTACCGAGATGCACAGGATACAATCTGTGTGAGTATTGATATATATATCGATATCATATTTAAAATTAAAAGGTAAACAATTCTAAAATAAGTAAAATAATGTCTTTTTGAAAATGCAAACTATGAGAACGTATTGAAACTATGTCACATTTAAAGTTAGGATTAATGAAATCAACATTTCATTGTAGCACAGAACCTTTACCCATGTTTTTGATGGAGGCAAGCAAGACTGGTTTAGTGTCATCTCCATAATTGAAAATGTGTTCAACACCATAAAAGATCAACTCCCACAACTCACTGAAGTGTTCCTACGTTCTGACAATGCTGCTTGCTACCACTGTGGGCACATGTGGCTTTGTCTTCCAGAGGTTAGCAAACGCACTGGTAAGTGAAAAGTATTTTAAGAAGATAATGTACTTAAATTAATTAAAGTAGCAAATTTACCATTAATTTTCACGTCTAAAGATATTGCAGTAAATACTTTCTATACATATGACTATGCCAAACTGTTTTAATTCCGCAGCATTATGGATCACATTGTTACATTGTTTTCAATGGTAAAGTACGCTTTAACAATTGCTGTTATGTCATTACATTAAAGCAACCACCTTTGTTTCACATGTTCTGCGTGATAATTAGAATCTTGCATTCATGTCTGATATCCACACTAAATGAGTTAAGAGAATCTTGTGAGCTTATAAGCTATATATAATATAATTGTATATATACAACGTTGAAAATTTAGTTGATTTATTGTATTTTCAAAAGGTCTGAACGTGAAAACATACTGCTATTCGGAACCCCAGGCTGGTAAGTCATACTGTGATTCAAAAAATGCCCACATGAAGAGAAAGATGAGGACATGGGTTACCGAAGGCAATGACATTGTTACAGCAACAGACATGAAGTCAGCAATTGATGCAACAACAGGTACTGGAACAAACCCTTCATTTGTGTAGACTTTCTACAATGGATTGTTGTTTTGTAAATAAGCCTACGTGGAAACTGAAATATTGAATAATATGTTGGTTGGCATATTTTATTTTTCACATTAAGTTATTCTTGTTCAGAAAAAACACACTCAAATCACTCATCTTAAATGTAATTTTCAGTAGTGGTAAAATTCTGTAAAGTTTAAATGACTAAATACGTGGAATTGGTTTTAAAGTTTTTAAAGTAAAAGCTACAAGAAATGGTATGTTTTAGTACATACATTATTTTTTGTTTCAAAACTATAGATTATAGAATTGTATTTATTTTATCATTTTAGGTGTTACAGGATGTCAAGTTGCTGTAGTAACAATGGACACTGACAAACAAATTGTCAAGTCTCACAGACTGAAACAAATAAATTGTTTCAATGAAGTAGTATTCCAAGACAATGGAATACTTCTGAGAAAAGCCTATGCCATTGGAGATGGAAAATTCATTTCAAATGATGAATTGCTAAAAGCTGGGAATGGACTCCAAATGTCTCAACAATCAGGATGCAAGACACTTGAGGGTTTTACTTTACCCACAGTATGTGAAGGTAAAATCAGTCGTCCACAACCTACACAAACAGATCTTGATACAGTGTACTGTTGTCCAGAGCCGGGTTGTACCAACACCTTTCCCTGTTATAGGGATGCAGAAGATCACCTTGCTCTTGGCACCCACAACTGTCAACTTGTGAAGGAGTCAACGTATGACAACATAAAGCGACAGTGGGCCCGTCTCTGCAATGAAGTTGTCATTACCTACAAGGTCCGCACAACCACAGGTAGTTGCACATCACAAGCAGATGGATCAAGGCAAATGGGGTGGGCCTTGAGAAGTGCACGCAAGGGTGTTAGGTTTAACACTAAGGTGAAGGACTTTCTTCAAGCCAAGTTCATGGAAGGTGAAAGAAACAAAAAGAGTGATCCTTTGGAGGTGTCATACATCATGAAAACATTAAGAGATGATGAAGGGAACAAGATGTTCAGCCATTCCGAGTGGTTAAGACCCAATCAAATAACGTCATTCTTTTCAAGACTTTCGAACAAGAAAATCAAAAGGAAAACTGAAGCAATAGATGATGAGGATTTGTTTGTTGTACTGGATGCCATTGACAATGATGTTTTGCTGAATGAATTGTCAGAAAGTTAACCAGATAACTGTCAGGGCTATTGAATGTGATCAAATCTTATATGTTACACAGCACATCTTTCCGTGGTAAGGGAGCCTCAGAGTAAGTCTAACAACTCCATGTCAACCCTCGCTTTCACAAGTATGACATTACAGAGTTGAGTGTAGCAGCACTTCTCACGAGTATTAGCTGCCTCAAGCTATCTACCTTATTCGATTCAAATATTTATTTCATTACTTGGCTTTGACAATATATATTTCTTTAAGTCATTTCACAAAATGAGGTGACAAAGTCCTGTTGTTAAAGAACTATTACTGGGTGACAAATGTGCAAATACAGCGGAGGATATTTGTGAACTCTTGGGTGATTATTTTGTTGATCTAGCTAAGCCTCACTGCTCTTCATCATCTGACAACTTCAAAATATCAGTTGACAGAAAGTTTACACATAATATTAAGCCTGGAACACTTATCATGTGATGATAATGTTTTGTGTAAATGTATTGAAATAGACTATGTACAGGGGCACACCAATAATGTCAATAATAATGGTCCAGATTATGTTCACAACGAACATCTAATCTATGGCAATGATAGCATCATAAATGTAATAACTGCCCCTTTTATTCTATTGTAAAGTCAGTATATGTCCCTAGCACAATCAGAAAAGGCGTAGTTGTTCCAATATATAAAGGAAAAAAATCAAAACATGATCCTAAAAACTATAGAGGAATAACTGTAACATCTTGTATTGGAAAACTCTTTGAGAAAGTACTTCTCGCTAAATTAGAAACCCAGGTTGCAAGAGTATATACCAGCATTTCCAGACAAGCTCTGGTTGGCTTTAGAAAAGAACACGGTGCGACCACTTCAGTGTAGACTTTAAATAAAAGTTTATCCTACTATTTCTTCAGAGATTCAAAGGTATATACTGCTTTTATTGATAAGGAAAAGGCGCTCGACTGCATATGGCACAATGTACTCTTTTTAAAGTTATAAAGAAACAGGAACAAAAGGCAAAATGTGGCAGCTGCTATACCAAAGCTACACAGAAGTTCTGCTTTTGTTCAATATTGTGGCTTAAACTCAAATGAATATACCATGCATGGTGTCAGACAAGGAAGAGTCTTGTGCTTTTTTTTCTACTTTTTATCAATGACGTAATATGTTAATTTTGAACCTTAAGCAATGGTATTCACATATATACAAGGTATTGATATCCCCTGTATCTTATTGGCTGATGACACTACACTTGCTTCAACTTTTCCTAAAGGTCCACAGTCGCCATATAATAGTTCAAAGAGTGCTTGCATTATATCCGTAAATGTAAGACAGGTCATGATTATTATCCTTTCACATTTGGCGAAACAGATATTGCAATAAGTGGTAGTGTCAAATATGGAGGCAGCATGCTTTCCTCTGATTTATCCTTCAAATCTAGACTGCTCGCATATTGTCAAAACGCACGACAATCTGCAAACTCCCTTAGTAATCCACAGGGCTTAAACAATTTTATATATATGTGAGTGGCTATCTTGAAATAGTTATTAACTGTGTTAATGAAACTGAAACTGTACAATGGGATACCCAAGTCAGCGTGAGACATGTTTACCCACAATATAGAGATATCATACAAATTTGTGTACAAATCAATTCTCGAGCCAATTTTCAAAATATTGTAAACTCTGCCATATAATTCTACATTGTGAACATTATATGTACAACAGGAATCAACTCTTGTCCAAACTTATAGATCTTTTTTCATGTCAATGTGTCTTGGCATGTAGAATTACTGCCAGAAGATGAAATGCTGTCTCTCGTTTCTTGAGGTGAAACACCGGTTACTGAACACATAGATGAAATGTCATGGAGATGTATGATTGTCCTATTTGGTAAATAACTTTATCCCATGGTATCCTCACTCAAGTGTGTATTTTTTAGATCCTTCCTTGCCTTTGCTCTGTACATGTGTGTACCCGCATTGTGAATATCCTATTGTGAATATTTGATGTATATAGTATACGATCTTCAGATTGAAATAAGTACTGAGAATGTTTTATAGTTAATATACTCAGCAGTTAAAAACGTCAGTATGAATTGAAAATTAGAAAGGCACTGTAATCAAATCATTACAGGAATGGACATAATAAGCGGATCAAGAACATGTTTTGTGTACAATATCTTGACACATCAGTGAATAACTGAGCACAATTTCAAGACATTATGTGAACGTTTGCAGTGCATTCAGACTCTTGACTTCAGTATCTAATCGATTGATGAAGGCCATTGGCACCTTGAACCACACTCTGAGAAAGGCCTGATGCAATAAATAGGCTGTGTTCGGCCTTGGTATGACATTATGTAGTCTCCTCTGAATTTCATCCCAAAGATGTTCATATATGGGTTTAAATCAGGACTAAGGGCTGGCCACTGCACAATATTGACACCGTTCTGCTGTAATAAGTCCTGTGTAGCTCTGGAAGTATGGGCCCGGGCATTATCATGCTGGAAAATGTGGTTCCGGTGACATGCGAAAAGTGGTATGACTGAGAGCTTGGTCTATGTAGGGCACTGCTGTGATGCCGCCTCCTCTCCCTGGACCAAGGTTCTGGACACCACAGAACCCACTCTCTGGTTCAGGCCTATTCCTCCCCATACCATGATGCTTGCACCTCCCCATGAGTCTCTTTCTTAACACATGGGTCTGAGTAACGGTGGCCACATTGTCGCCATATTCTTGTTCTGCCATCTGCAGTTGATACGCAGTACCGACTCTCATCTGTGAACAGAACAGTTCTCCATTGCCTGTATCGCCAGTTTTGGTGTTGTAGGGCAAACTGTAGACGTTCACGCCGATGACGAGGGGTGAGGATAGGTCCATGGTAAGGTCTACAGCAATGGAGGTTCCCAATGTTAAGACGTCGGCGTACTGTATCAGTACTGATTGGTCTTCCGTGTGTTCCCACTGTCTTGTATTCTTCCAAACTGACGTTTCTTTTGCTGCTTAGTATATATGGCCAAATGCTGTTTGTGTGAGTAGGGTTAGTGTATGAAAGAATGGGTGATAGCGATTCTGTTTGACAATGATACATGTGAGTTTGAATGAGTTCATGATTTGTGTGAATGGTTTTTAGTTAATGTATATGTATATGTTGTTTGTCTGAGTAGGATTGGTGTATGGAAGGTAGTATGACAGATAATGAATCGATAATATATGGGATGTATGGCAAACTGACAGGGATTTTTTTTATTTATTTAACTATTTATTTAACTTAGTAACTAAATTAACTAACTTACCAACCAACTAACCAACCAACTAACCTGACTAATACACTAACTAACTAATACACTAACCCACTAATACACTAACCAACTAACTCACTTTATCACTAACTCACTCACTCACTCTATCGAGAATGAATGAAAAGCTTTGAGCGGATGACAAATGTAAGAATGCCAGTATGAATGTATTTTTGAGTACATGTAATACCTTATTTTTAAGAGTACATGTATTATCAAAGTGTCTCATGGCCCTATGGCCGGGCATTATTTGTATTAAATAAACATTTCTTCTTCCCCTCCTCCTACTCTTCTTATTATTCTTAAAAGTATGGTTCATACTTCAAACAAAGGTGTCTGTGTTATGTTTGTGATGAGGAATATTCCATTTATGCTTTAATAAAGAGAATAGAAAGCCAACACTGAAGACTGACTGATTGACTGTGTTTGGTTTTACGCCGCTTTTAGCAATATTCCAGCAATATCACGGCGGGGGGGACACCAGAAAATGGGCTTAACACATTGTGCCCATGTGGGGATTCGAACCCGGGTCTTTGGCGTGACGAGCCAACGCTTTAACCGATTAGGCTATCCCACCGCCCCCAACACTGAAGAAGTAAGTATGTGACATCTTCACTTTCTCACTGTATTTTCCATTTTGAGAAAGGTAATCTCACATTTCCTGAAAATAATAATTTTGATGACTCAGCATAATTTACTTAAGTACTTAAGAAAAAGAACTATAACAGGATTTAGTACTTGAAAATCGGTTAGCTTTTAAGTAATTTGTTAGTAATTTAGGCCCCCAAAAGCATTAAATGTATACAGCATGCACAGAGGGTCTATACTTAGCATTTTTCTTCAAAACGTCCACTTCTTAGTTAGGTTGTCATTGCAAATTCCTCTGCTATTTTTGCAAATGATGATCCTAACAGTCCTCTTAAATACTTAAATAATACTTTCTTGAGCAATATTCAATAAATGGCTGATTTATGTTGGTAAATGTACCCAATTGTTTGCTGTCAAAATTTTGAAAATATATATCAATATATTAAATTCTGAGCCAAATGCCCCTAAAATCATCAATTTTGAGTAATTCTGTTATAGGTTAAAATACCCGTTACCTTGACAACCGTTGCTATGGAGCGGTCCTCATCAACTCTTCAAAAAATATAACTGAAGTGAAAGTTGTATATGTATTCTTTCAATACAAAGTAAAAGAATTCTGACTGCACGAATAGTTTTAACAATATTGTCAACGGAAAAATAGCATTTTCGTACATTTTCACATGCTATTCTGGGTCAATTTCGTAGAATTTTAATTAGTGGCTAATTTATGAAAAATATTGATAGCAGAAAAATTTCTGAGTGACATGACATTTTACAAGGCCAACTAAAGAGAATGACAAAATTTCAAGTGAATATGAAATTTTGGACTTATCCACCTCTGCATGATTCTTAGGTGGAATGCTACTTAGCATGGGACTGCTTTTTGTGAGGGGTTGGTCCGAAGGTGGGAATCACATTGATTTATAATGGTGTTAATGTAGTTAGAGTTGAATATGTTTGTGTCTGTGTTATGTGTATATGTATATTTATTGGCCGAGGTCTGTCTTGTCGAATAATATATGGTAGTCCTGGAAGTTTGAACGCAGGTTTGGGGAATAATTTTGTTTCTTGTACTGGAAATATTAATTGGGGGTTAATTTTTGTTTTGGACAGTGAAGTGCCTTAAGTTCATGTACCCACTATATTAGGGCCATGGCTGCTGTAATTTACAATTGGACTTTATAAAAGGCCATGGGTGGTGCATAACTTTGGATATTGTCGCACTGTCGCGCATTTAAAAAACTCTTTTGACATCTCAGATAGGGCGACAATGCGACAGCGTGACATATTTTGACCTTAGAAAATTATCAGCTCTGTCACCCTTTGAATGAATAATGAAATATGATTTAAAGCGCGACAAGCCGACATAGCGACAATGTGACAAATGGCCAAACTGTCGCATTGTCTCTATGTCGCGCTTTAGTTAATTTGGCCACTTTTTTTGTTTGTTTTTGTGAGGGCGAAAATAT